GATAGCAGGAAGGACACAGACTGCAGAGGACTGTGGGATTTGTAGTTCATCCTTAGCCGTGGCATTACTCAGGTCTTTTAAAAGCTGCGTTTCCCACAACCCCCTGCTGCTTCCATCTTTCCTGCTCACACCTCATACCTGTGTCGGGCGCAGAGGCGGCGCTGCTCGGCCAAGCGGTGCTCAGCGATGTCACAGAGCCAAGCCAATCAGGGGGCGTTGTGTATGGCTGAGTGGGCGGAGCCTGAGAAGAGGTCACCGGGGGAACGCCGGTGGCGGCAGGTGTGCTCTCGCTGCGGTTCTGCGGCGAATACGTGACGGTTTCCACCGTGAATGAGGAGGCGGGGTAGGGGTCACTTGTGCTGTTGCTGTGGTAACCAGGGTTGCTGTCGGCGATGGGTTTGGGCGAGGGGAGGAGGCTGGGGTCCAAGTGAGTGCTGCCAAATATACCTGCAGAGGAAGACACAGGTATCAGCCAATCATAGGAGGCGGTTCAGGCATGATTCTGAGCTCATGAACGTCCATTAGCGTTCAAGGCTTCAGTTCATGAACGAATGAGTGCTGTCTGGTGTCACACAAAAAGTCCGAAATTTCAAATAGTTTTAAGGAAATAATTTGACAATTTAATAATTTAGAAGATATAAAAGCTTTCATAGAAACCTAAATGTCTGTATTCTCCAGGCGTGGTCACATTTAACCTAAACGTCCATGAACACACTGACTCTTTTCTACAGGTGTGTCATCAATAAAGGACCCCAGAAGCAAAAGTTATGGCGAGAATGGAAAATGCCACAAAGTTCTCAATGGAAAAGAAGCTTTTGAGTTGATAAATGTGTTCCCCTCTCTGCTTTTGAGTCTCATTTCTCTTTTATTTTGAAGGTCAGGTCCTCTTTGGCTTTCTCTGTTTTCACTTCCTGCCTTTTTTCTCTTCCTGTCTTGAATATTTCCTTGACTGACTGCATTGTTGTCCCTCGCCCTGCTGGTGTGTGGTTACGGTACATCTTACAGTGTCGATCTCACAGTGAGTCTCTGTTGTTCTGGGTGCATTTTGGACGCCACCCCTTCCCCTCTTCCTCCCTTTGTTACTTTAGAGTTTTTAAAGCACTGTTTTTCGTCAACTCCCCGGCCGCGTCCGTCTTTATGAACTTGAACAACCTGACATTTCCGGCAAAGAAAAAAAAAACATTAATGAGACAGCACAGCCGTGTCAGACAGAGCTGGTTACCATGGTAATCTTTTTACACAGCCGTGGGTTTCATCATTTGCATTTCTGGTATAAATGTTACAAATGAGTCACTGACAGATCATCGGCTTCACCCCCTCAAACACCGAATTACTGCCGACATGTGAGATTCCTCTCAGCTCTGGTGGAAACAAATCAAACGAGGAATTTTCATTTTGCACGTTTGTTACATCGTTTTATGACAGAGACGTCTTCGCGTATGTGAAGGAACATGTATGCATAAATCTGTTTTCTTGCAGCGTAAGGAGGGGAGTGGGTGCGCTGTAAATATCAGTGGGTACGTGTCCCGAGTGTCTCCCTGAAATCGACACCACATGACTGCGAAACAGGCCACTCGTCACTGTATATAAATAATATAGCTACTGATAAACAGCTACTGAAGCTCCGCCTACAGACACAGACCTCAGGTCAGCCAATAAGTCAGAAATGAACATGAGTGGTCTCTGTTTGACTGAGCACAGTGGCGCCTGACTGCCATCAAATAAATAAATAAAACTGGTGCCAAAGTGTAAGTCCCACAGCTGGAACCATTAATCAGAGCGAACGCCACAAGAAATTCAGGAAGGAAATCAAGAAATGGCGCGCTGGGATGGACCTGTCCGGGTGTACCCTGCCGCCGGGTCTGTGACAGCTTGAATAGGATGGATCCAAAAATGATAGTCGATGGTTTTCAGACTGCAATTTACCTTCATTTGCTCTGTGCTCAGGCTGTTTACCTGCATGCAGCATTGGTCAGTAGATCTCGAACTACAAATATGGTTGTCAGACGGTGAGCT